TCCTCATTTGCATTCCGGCCCCACCCTAAACCGGTCCCCGCCAGCTGCGTGGGCTGGAGCAGGTTGCGGTGCAGCGGGCAGGTGGGTGTGGATGCCAGCTCGGAGGGATGCTGCGGCCGGGGTGAGTCAGTCACAGGCCCCAGGGAGGGAAGGAGCCCTGCCAATCGGGCTCAGGCTGCCCCAGGGGAGAGGGAGCAGGAGGGTGTCCCTGCACGTCCTGCACCCCCCTGTAGGGTCCCTGCATGTCCCGCTGGCTGCTGAGCCCAGGCGCACAGGTGTGGAAGCATCCTCGAGGCCACCCAGGTGGCAGCCTGGTCAGGCAGCGCCCCTTGACCCCTGCGCCCTCAGGCCACAGCTGGACTGGACAGGCCGTGTGAGCGCCCACTCCTGCCGGCCCACTGGGTAATAAAAAGTTCATGATCCGGCCCCACATTCAAAAAGGTTGGACACCCCTGCTATAGAAGAGTATCTGAACACACTGTTTGTTCAGCTGGGGCTTAAAAATCTGATCACAAATCTTAAGCCGTAGTATTGAGCATTTCTGTTGTATAGTGACTAGAGGCCTGCAGTGTCATGGCCCCATTGTGCTATGTGCTCTACAAACATAGAGAAGCACATGTAATTACAAACTACAGTGCAGTTCAGACAGCCTTTTCCAAAAATATGTACCTTCTAGACACACCCACACATGTAGTAACTGAAAAGATTCATAGGTCACACCAGCAGATGCAGAGTGAACCCTCTAATCTTCTTCCTCTCTTCCATTACTGAGCAGCCAGAGTTTTACAGGTCCTGTATAGACGCTACTGAATTAATGGGCAGTGTAAAGAGCCTCTGTCCCCAGGACAGCTGTGTGAGATATCACACATACTGTATTGTTAAAGTATAAGGTTGCAAAGCCAAGCCAGAAATTAAGAAATTCTAAAGTCACAGCTGCTTGTGAAATCTTAATTTCTCTCCTTTAGGTATTTGCCTTATGATTCTTTAATTACATGATTGGATCCCTACCTTGTTTAGTTCATGGGATGAATAGAATTTAATTAAGAAGCTATTTGATTCAGTCTCATCTTCAGTGCATGGTCCCATGACTTGCCTTGTGTTACTTGAAACTTGCTTTGAATGCTAGATGATTAATTTCCATATGCTTGTTTTCCTATGGCACTATTGTACGAGTGCTTCCCAAGTATTAATTTACACTCAGAACCCCCCAGAAAGGCAAGGGAGTTGTATTAACCCTGTTTTATAGACAGTTGAGGTTCATATAGATGAAAGTCAAAAGTACGCTGTAATTTTGGGTGCCCAACTTGGGGTGCTCTGGAACTTTTTTTTCCTTGGAGTGTTTATACATCACTTAAAGTATTTTAAGTACAACTTTCATTTAATTCAGCTATAGCTGTGAATGTTCAACCTTCTGCAAATTGCATTGCAGGCTCTGAAGTCAGAGACATGGGTAAGAACCTATGAACAGTTTGTGAGTAGCTTAGCATCATGCAGTAACTCTGTAGCATAAAGTAGGGAGAGAAGCAATTCACCACTGCCTGAGATCATACTTTCTCTTCCTGCTATCCCTAGCTCGTTTATGACACACCTTCCAACTTCATCAACAGATAAAGCAGGGAGCCAACAGACAACAGTTTTTATCATTTCACAGTTCTCCTTCACACTCACAGGGGGTCTGCACTGAATGAAGTAGGGTCCTATGGAAAAAACATCATGCAATCAAGTAATTATAGACTGTAACATAATGCACACACAAGAGAGGGCTCAATTAAAGTTGTACAAAGAAACACAATGCTAGAATTGACTTCACAGCCTTAATAAAATTATTGTAACTTAAGTAGGGGCTTTGGTGTAATTTCTAACTTAAAAATAAATGCAGCAGAGAAAACAAATTGCTCCATGCAGTATAATGACACCTTTATGAGTCATTTAAATCTACCACACAGAACTCTATTTGAGTTAATAGAGCAGCTGATGGCAGTAGTCTGGCACTAGTTTTGCCAGTGGGGTTTACAGACCTCTGCTGTCTGCAAATGAATGGTGCAAGTCAGGAGATTTAGGTTTAATTCCAGACTGCACAGGAGTGTGCCCTGCTAGGCTTAGACTCCCTTCCCTTTCCTTTTCCACCCACACCTTTTCTTGTTTCCCACCCCTCCCAACTGTCCCAGTTCTTTTTCTTCCTCTGTAACATTTCTTTTCGGTCCTTTTCTCTGTGCAACCTCACTAGCTCTCAGCATCACTGTTTTTCTGACTACTTCTTTACTACTCGCCTCCATTCTTCTTCTGCCTTCAAATCAGGCTGTTGTCTCTGCATTGTCTGGGTGTTAGCTGGGGGTGTCACTGAAAGCACAGGAGAGATTCTTTGCTCTCTGTTACAATGCTTGGCTCAAGCTGGCCCAGAGCAACTTTACAGGGAAAGCCCAGCAGAAGTGTGTTTAGTCACTCTGTTGGGATGGCATGTGTGCAGTCTGGTCCCAGGTAGGAGCTAGGAAGAGGTGGTATGTGCCAGTCTGGTTAGCACAAGGGACTCTGGGAGGCTTGGCTTTGCTCAGTGACCAAGGAATCTCTAAGAAATTTAGCTGCTGAAATTGCAGTGGTTTCTCCTGAGAATACACAAACTGCAGTTTTTCCCCGGAGGCTTTATCACTTGGCTGACTTGACAGATATTCACAGGGATAAAAAAGACATGTAAATTGCAAAGACGACCCTCTTGCTAAATGTCAACCTTCTGCTTCAGAACAAGGTGGTGTTAGAGCTTTCAAAGAAAAAACTGCCAAGAGATTTTTAATTTTTTTAGCATGTACAACCAGCATAATTTCCCTTAGCTTTGTTCTTGGAAATGGCTAAATGTTTTTCATGGGTGACCAGTTTCTTTCTTTCCATGCCCCCCCCCCCCCCCCCCCCAAATCAGTCAGAGTGGCTAAAGTTTAGCAAATATAATCAACTGAAAACAGAGCTTTGTAATGAGAAGTCAGAAAACCTGAATAAAATGGTACTGCCAGCTTCTGTAATTGTTTTATAAATAAAATGGTATTTGAGTTTTCTTTGCATGTGACAGGCCAATATTGCTTCCACTTTAGAATTAGTGGATCGGTTTAGGATTGAGGGTACATCAAACTGCCATTTTTTCTCATGTAAATACTGCTGTATGCATGTTCTTCAGATTTGTCAGTGCAAGTAGTTTATTTGAAAGGGAACTTACTGTATCTCAAATCAGACTACGCAATAAGTATTTAATATACCAAAAAAGTGTTTTAGTTTTCCCAGCATAACACATGGTATTTTGATTTATAGGTTGAGTGCATATCAGTGTACTTATAATAAAGCCATCTATTGTTGATTATTTTCCCTCTTAAAAGTAAAATTAAATTATAAATATATGTAAGTGAGGAACTATTGACATGAGTGTGAAGCAGGGATAATACTGGCATACACTGTGCACATTTTGCCACACACTGGGTTCCACTAGACATTCTGATAAAGACATGATAGGATCAGATGCACAATCCACACAACTGTGCTGCCTGCCATGCCACACGTGCATGACAGGTGATTGTGGGATCCAGCATCGGATCCTATCTTGCCTTATTGCTGGCACAGGGGGGAGCCCAGGATCCCTATCCTGAGCTCCCCCTGCTCTGTCAAGTAGCAAGCTCCTGCAGCTGTTGAGTCCTGCAGGGGCACAGACCTTGCTACAATTAAAGCTGAATAGAAACCAGCTATAAAGTTATTACACATTTTCCAGCTCTTAACTTTATAGCTGGATGGACCTTTTCATAGCATGATAGTTACTTTGCACGTGTAGCTGGTCTAAATTAATTGTGCAGTTAACCAGTTAATTGTGTAATACATGTAGAGGGGCCATTTGTTCTTTTTCAGCAATCGCCTGCACTCTAACTTTCCCTGATGTGGACTTCTTGAGTCAAAGAATATAAAAACAGGTTTTTTATTGAATGATGTGATGTGTGCAAAGACAGTTTTTAGGTTTATCTTGTAGCAGAATAAATACGTTTGAATATGGGGCTCTTGTTAATGAACCTTTGAATCTTTTTTAAAAACATCTCCTAGGTGGGCTAATTCCTTGTTTTACAAGTAGTATGTTTTCAGGAACTTAAGTAGTGTGTTTTGGTATTCAGTTATTTACGTTTTTAGTTTAACTTTGGCTAGTCCTATTGCATTAATTGATCACACAATCTGGATGAAATCATCCCCTTAAATCCACTTACTTCCAACACTGAGCAGTGACAGCTGCTTCAGAAGAAGGAAACATGAAAGTAGGCTGTTATTGGATAACCAATACCCAGGAAAAACATCCTGCTACCTCCCAGAAATTGGAGATTGATTTATGCTCTGAAATGTAAAGGTTTATATACCTTTCAAAGTGCTGGGTCAGTTTAGTATTAAAACATGAATATTCCTTTTAAGCATAGCTTCATCTTTATCTGAATCCTGCTAAACTCTTGGTCTCAACAATACTTTGTGGTTACTAGTCTTATGTTCTGACTGTACTGTGTGGAAAAAGTACCTCCCTTGAACAGTCCTGAATTTGCAGCCTTCAAATTTATGACTGCCCCCGTGTGCCATAAGGGGGCTGTCATAAATTGAATAAGGTTCCATATCGATCTACTGTGTACCATTTTCTAAATTCAGTATTGGTTATCATATCCATCTCTGTCATGTTTCTAAGGTAAACCATCTCAGTCATTTCAGTCTCTCTTTTTGGGGATTATTTTCTAAGTTCATAATTATAGTATCAGTAAATAAGGGACATATGTTATGTTGCCTAACGCTGCAAAATGCGGAATGCAGAGTAGTCTTATAAATGAGCAACAAAGAGGTAAGGCTGGTTTCCAAGTTTATAAAAATGTTTATTTGGCACCACTTGTCAAGTCATTCAGCATTGCTGAATTACTGGCAGAGTTGTTATCCAGATGCAAATGTGTATGATATTAAGCGTTGCGCAGTAAAACTAATTGGCATGTTTTTATGTCCTTTTTCAGAAGCGAGATCAACTGCAAGATGAAGAGGAAAGAAAAAGCTCTTGGGTTAGTCAGGAGCGACAAAAAACACTGGACAGGCTTCGCACATTTAAACAGGTAATGAAAGAAAAGTGACTAATCTTTTTCATCGTTTCTTTTTTTCTTTTTTTAAATTACATTCTTGTAATAGCTTTGTGTAGTATCTAATATTCTTCGTTAAATACTTAAGCATTCATTGGAGAATAGGAGTTAAAATCCCCTGCATTCTAGGATTTAGGACAAGATACGGTAAATGAACTTCTGGATATTTCTGGCATAGTTATGTGCTGAGCCTTCCTCTTCTCATTTCTTATAGCTAATGAAGAACTTAAACAAAGTTTGCAGTGTTTCTTTTACAGAAGTACAAACTATATGCCATGTTCCACATATATTGGATCATTTCATTCCTCCCTCCAATTATAATGCCTGACAATTCTTTCCCAAGGGAGTTTGAAGTCAAAGTATCAGAGAAAAGACACCAGACAGATACAGACAGAGGGGTTGAATACAAAAATGCTTGTAGCTGTTGCTAGTCTACATAGCCAAGCAATAAAACTAGAACAAGCAATAAAATTAAGAGAATTTCCATTACTATCTGGATACTTTGTTTAGTTTTGTGCTATTAAAAAATAGTAGTGTACACCTAAACAGCTTGCAAGCCTGCAAAACATTTAGGGCTAGTGCGTGTTTCACCTGTTGGATGGCAAATCTCCCTTGTATGTCTTAAAATCAGCATTTAATTTAATCCACAGCCTTTTTATACATAGCTGTAGATTTCAATGACGTGGTAGATACAGATTTAGGAGCCAGGTTGAAATTGCTTTGAAACTATATTCTGAAAGAAAACATAGGTGTTTGGAGGGTCAGAACAGAACTATTGGAAAATATTAACTGCTGTCGTCTTACGTAGTTCTTATTTACATTTTGAGATGTTTGTTTTTGTTTTTTTAGCTTGATGGCCTGATGGTGTTACTGAGGGCTCTTTTGTCTGTTTGGGTGGAATGAGGAGAAGGGGGACTGTGGTGGTGGTGTTGTTACTATCTAGGAAAACCACCAGTATTTGGTTCTTAATGAAGTCCTGATTTTTCACTTGTGTCCCTGAGTAAAACTTGGTACATGAAGAGTGAATTGATAGGGAGGCAGCAACTCAGCCTTGATAAGACCTGAGGATCTTTCTGCTATTTTATTGTAAGCAGTAGAATAGGGAGAAAAGGACCTTAATCCTAGTAATTGCAGCATTTTTAACCTCCAAAGAACATTCCTGTCTACTCCTCCCAATTTTTCCAAATGCATTACTCTTGCCAACTGTATACATCTAGTTTGCATAGTAGGAGAGGGAGGGGATTTTAGTGTTTGCTAAATATCATTTGGAGTAAACTGAGCAATGGGTTTTTATTGCAAATTATGACGCTCACACTATGTTAATGTCATAGGTCATCACTAGGCTGCCATGTACTGGAATGTTACATCATTGGAATGCTTTACATTGAAAATGTAGAGCATAATAGCTCTTGGATGTGATTCCTTTGCAATACAGTAACAATCAGAAAAGTTAAAGCCCTTATCAGTTCATTTTCAGCATCTAGAATAGCACACTCAATTAATCTTAAATAACGTTTTTCCTTTTAGCGGTACCCTGGGCAAGTTATACTTAAATCAACCAGGCTGCGACTGGCTCACACAAAAAGGAAAAGTTCAGCTAGCTCAATACCCTGCACAGATGAACCTCGATCTCTGCCAGAAACTTCCCAAATCCAAGAGAAAACTGAAGAGACAGAATCAGGAAAAGCGACCCAGCCTTTACAAACCCAGGAGCCTAGGAATTTAGAACAACTTGAAGATATTTCATTACCTCCTAATGGTGTTACCTCTGAACTGTCTCATGCTAGTACTTTTCCAGTTCTTGCCAGTAATGACCCTCAGCCAGATACTGTTACTGTAGTATCATTTCCTCCTCCTCTGCCCCCACCGCCGCCGCCACCACCGCCACCACCTCTGCCTACCAAGGAAGATGCCACAGAATCCTCAGGAAAATGTGACAGCCTCATTAAACAGGAGAGTGAGGATAAAGAAGTCCCACAGTCTGTCAGTATCCCATCAGCACATCTTTTTGATAGCAGTCAGTTAGTCAGTGCCAAGAAGAAACTAAAGAAGACAGGTGATCTAGAAGGTTTGCAGAGGAGAAGAGGTAATACTTGTATTTATATTTATTTGATTGTAATTAACTTTTAAGTAATATATTAGCAGTTTGCTTGTTCCCCTCTTTGGGACTGCTCTATAGAAGTGTGTGTGTTAATATTTCTGTATAAAAAGTAATGCAACAAACACTTGGCATAGCTCCCTAGACTAAAAAATTCATCCGTTCAAATTATGGGAACTTTCACTGTTGTGTGCAGCAGTTATACAGTATAGACTGAAAAAGATTACAAGTTTGTTAATGGTTCAAGCATGATGCATTTTTTTTTGCCTTAGTCAGGGACTAGACTCAGTGATCCCCGAAGTCCCTCCCACTTCTACTCTCTTCTCTAATCCCACATATCCTCAGATACAATTTGCAGTTTTTGCTCAGGTGTTTCAGTTGATAGAACTTTACGAAATTTATATCCTACTGGATGGAGTCCTGGGCTGGGATTTGGAAGACCAGGCTTACTTTGCGGCTTTGTCAGTAGCCTTCTGGGTGACTTTTGGCAAGTTGTTTTCACCTCTGTGCCTCAGTTTCCACATCTGCAAAAACAGAGATAATGAAATGCATGGAAAGTTTTGGCGGTAAAGCATATATATTTTATTGAGTCAGCTTTTTTAACTGTATGTAAACAAATTTAATATTAACACTTACCTTATCTGTGCTGTGTCCTCATTTCTATATATTTACTTATTTCTACATCAACCTAGTTGGTACTGGCAGCCTTGAATGAACTACCACAGGCTGCTTATCAGTAGTTTAAAAACACAGGTGGCTTTAAAATGTCGGTGCCTGGTTTTCTTTGTTTCTTTGAAAAGCATGAAAAATCATCTTTCCTCACCAATCTGGACAGGAACCTTGGCCATCGGGTGTGTGGGTATGCAGTGGATATAGGATTTTCCTCTTGGTACTTTTTCATTTAATGACCTTTGTTTTCTTTGCTTTGCGCAAGTATTGTGATTTTAATTATCCTTAATTGTAGACAGGCCCAGAGCTATAAACAGAGCCATAAATAATGGAAGGTCCTCATTCATGGAAGCATTATGGGGACCCCAGTCTTTTTAGCCTTACTTTTTGCTCCATGATTCCCCGTTCAGAATAAATGTTCTTTGAACTTCTTTGTGGTGAGTGACTTAGGAAAATCCAGAAATCAATTTTTGAATCATTAAAAACATTTTTTTAAGTGTTCCCCAGTTTTATGTCTAAAAACCTATGAATTCCATAACTGTGTGAGTGAGGTCTGAATGCAAACATGCATGTTTGACAGTTTACAAAGTTGGAAGCAAATTTTTAATCACTTGCATAGTTCTTTCAACATTTAAAAATGTTGTCAACCAGACCTCTTTACAATGGCTGAAGGTGGTACTTTGTACCAGGCAAACTGTAAGGAGCATGGGCGTATCATACAAGTTGTCTTTTAGGATTCTTAGATGGGTAGTGAAGTCAGCGTGAAAAGACATCCACTTCAACTCTGCTGCTGTAAGCATAAAGTCCCAGTCCTGAAGAAACTTTGCACATGCAGTTCTATATACCTGCACAGCTTCCTATCAGCATTGGCAGGGCATTGGTGTTTACCAGTCAGCTTGTGCCCAGGTGGAATAATGCTTACTCTCCAGATTTCTGGTTTTCATTGGTGGTGTTAGAGATTATGAAATCCATGAAATGAAGAATATAGCAGCACTTGTTAAGTGATACCATGGAACTACACTGACTTATTGCAGTTAATTGTTTATGTAAATTCATCTTGTTTTGACAACCTTTCTTTAGGTTTGGCTCTCAAACATTCTTTTCATCTGAAATGTCTTATGTTGAGTATGAAGCTAAAGAAGAAACTTTGGGCCAGTTGAAGTACATCAGGGAGATTTTTAGTGCTTTGTTTTATCCCCTCTGATTTTTGGAGACTGTCCTCAACATTTTGATGCATTAAAGCAACTTGGTATGCACACACAAAATTGCAGTGTATTAAAAAAAATAATTTCTTTTAAAGTAGGTTTCATCATATATGTTGTTTTGATCAAACTAGTAAGATAGTTGCAAGTGTACATTCACTTATGTGATTACTTTTTGCTCTTTTAAAAAACCCCAGCCAAACTTATTCAGAATTAAAGCTGCAAACTAATCCTGCAGATAAATCTCAGTGCATAGTTAGTTATACCAATCTAAACTTAGTGGGCAACTGAGGTTTACTAAATTGTAAACAGGGCTTGGTTTGGAGACATTCTGTTTTCAATTTCCATGGACCCACTATCTGAACTTGCTTTGGTTAGTTTCAACCAACTTGTGCATTCCTTAATCCATCTGTAAAAGAGAGAGGGTAGCAGTTTCCCATTTTTTTGGAAAACACCTTGACCATGGATGCAAACCAGTGTACAAATGCAGTTATTTCATGTGAACAAGAGGATCAGATTTTCAAGAGCATGAGGTGTTGGCCAGATTGCCCCATTACAACTGGAATATCTGGGATTTCATAGGAAAGGTCTTGATTCATGGTACATGCTTGTATTCAGCAGGCTTATATAGATGTAAACTTTTCTATACAACAACTTTTTTTTCATGCACTTCAACCAAAAAAATAAAAAAGCATTTTTTCTGGTGACATTTTCACTCATCAACATAGTATGACAAGTATAGCAGGAGCACTCTCGTCATGCCATTCTGATAAAACCGAAATTTATGTGAGACTGTTAAATGCTAAAATAATTTGGAGCAACTGAATACTGCTGGAGCAACACAGTTGTGCATTTTTTTTTAAAATACCATTTTCTCCAGATTTTCATTAGTTTGGTACAATGTAATATTGTTGCTCCCTTTTTTCAGTCTTAGTTACTTTTTTTAATATTGGAAATCCGTATACATACAAATTTGGATATACTTTGTCTTTCCATCAGTTTTATGTGGCAAGGGGGGAAATGCACTCAAAGATGGAAACGATTAACAGTTATCTCATGGTATACATGGTATTGAGATTTATTTAGGGCTTAAAATTACCTAAGAAATGGCATCATCTTATTACTTGGTATAACTGAAGATATAAAAGTGAAGATGCTGGCATGAATAAATACATTAACACTGGCCATGTTTTTGTCTACTGTAGTGAGTTCCCCTATGGATGAGGTGCTGGCTTCCTTGAAGCGTGGTAGTTTTCACCTAAGAAAAGTAGAGCAGAGAAGTCTCCCTCCTTTCCCTGATGAAGATGATAGCAATAACATCTTGGCACAGATAAGGAAAGGAGTGAAGCTGAAGAAGGTGCAAAAGGATGTTCTGCGTGAATCTTTTACAGTTCTGCCTGACACTGATCCTCTGACGCGTAGCATCCATGAAGCACTTCGAAGAATTAAGGAAGCATCACCAGAGTCGGAAGATGAGGAGGAAAGTTTGCCTTGCACGGACTGGGAAAATTAACCTGTAATGTTCCTAATTCTATCTTTTTAAGCACTTTGTGTAAAATAGCTGCTAAATGTTATGGTTTGCAGTCTTGGATGCTTAGTAGATATTTGACTAACTGTCCTTGATATGAAGGCTGGTAAAAGAGTCTATATGGGACTTTAGAACTACTGACATTTGAAAGGGATTTACATTTATAGTGAGATAAATATTTTCCTGGCCCCTCACCTCATGATAGCTTGTTTTCTTGTTGAGCTGATGACAGAAATTGTCCCCACAGCAAGCTACAATTTGGTATAGCGTGTTTTAGAGAGATTGTGTACCTTCCAAAATTGAAAGGACCTTTCATAAATAATAAAGCCACACAATCAATCTTTAATATAGTCCTACCTTTCAGATATCTTCTAATAATTGCTTCTGACTTGTAAAAATACAGGGTGCTTCTGACTTCAGGCTGAATAATTCTAAGTCAAAGAAGATTAGATATGACTCCTAAACATATTGAAGTCTTGCGTGTGGCTGTTTTTTTTGATAGGTTCTTTCAGATCTGTGAAGGGTCTGATTAATTAGATTTCTAGATCATAAACAGTAAATAAGCCAGTGTAATTTACACCTCTGTTAATCATACCCCCCCAAACTTCCAGGCACTGTAGTTTGATGTGATGCAAGTGCTAACATTAGATTTCAGCTAGCTATTTAATGAGTTCACGAACAGAACAAAAATTGCCTAGGGATTTTAGACTTCAAAATCAAGGCTGAGATAGTAGTGTAAAAACATTGAAAGATTTCTCGAATGTCTCTGTCCTGAACTGCAATACTGTACTGTAGTAGTTCTCTTCTACAGCTAGGACATGGCTGTGTTGGGGGAGCAGAGGGAGGAATGCTATAAATATATATCAAATTCAAACTATATATGGTGGGCAGCAAAATAAATGTTTTCATGCAGTAATACAGTGAAGGGTATGTGGGGTTACGGTCAGTGCCATAGCTTAGATGTGGTGGTTAGTATAAGTATACAGTCATTTAAAAAGGGATGAGTGTCTACATCTTGAGGCACAGTACTGTGACTATGAAAGATTGTGCGTTTTGTGTCATGATGATGATTAAATGATTTGACAACACTAATATAAAATACCCAGTGTTGAATTTCAGAAAAGGTAAATAAATGCTACCTTTTCTCCTGGCTGGTAATTTACCTGGCTGGTAATTCATCCACTGAATGGAAGCTGACTGTGTTAATTGATCAATTTTCATTTTAACTTTCTTCTTTGCCATCAGTATTGTTAGGAAGAAGGAAATTGCTAAACCCCAAATATTCAGATATACTAAACTCCTGACAGAACTCAAACTCAGCTGATCTGTGTGTTATTTGGATCTCAGCACAATCACTGACCATTCCTTGTATAGACATTCAGTTTCTCCTGGGAGAGTTGCTGCTTTCCCAGGGGAAATCATGAGTGTACAGATGTTCAGGCTTTTCCTCTGAGAATAAAAGTGGCTACTCCAAGAGAAAAATAACCTGGGAATAACGGGTTAAATCACTTGCAGGAGAGTTTCTTCTGAGAGAGTGAATGTCTGTACAGACTGGGTTAGCTAGTCAGGGCTGCCCTATACACTGTTGTCAGGCAGACTAAGGGAGCCTGCAAAGCATACTGAGATGGGTACACAGCCCCCCATCCCGCGCGGCTGCATAGTGTCAGCTCTCCAAACCCTGTGCTCTTCAGGTCCTCAGCATTCAAATGTCTTTTCGTGTGGGTCTGAGAGGATTTTTTTTTCTACCACAAAAACAAACCTTGGAGAATCCTCCCAGATTGTTTAAATGTGTGTACAGTCCTTGTCTCTCCCTCTCCTTCCAGCTCTAGTCACTGATCACTTAAAACTCCCAATTAACTTAAAAGTGATGGCAGAATCCAGTATTTAGAATTTAGGATTTCATGTGGGAGCTTCAGTAGTAGAAATAACAATGGCAGTTTGAGGCTGACTTCTCAGTTGCGTTATTCTCAGTTTCTTAGATGTTGCCAAAATACATTTGGTCAAATTTGATTTTACATAGTAGGTTTTTTATCAGCCTAATTAAACCTTGTTTACTTTTTATACACTACAGCATGTAAGATCCTTCCCTTTTTTATCTGAGGAATCTCTAGGGCATCAGCATCCATCTTTTTCAACAAGTGTTACACAAATCCAAATCACCATGGGAGTGAACACCTTCCCTTATAAAGAATGCAGCCCTGCCAGATGCAGTTTTCAGCTCCCATTGACATCAGTAAGACTTGAAGGGACTCAGCACCATGCAGAAGGTGCACGCTACATATTCTAAAGATGGGCACATCATTATTTCCTTCTCTTTACTAGGTTGTATTTTACCGTGGAAATGCTACAGCCAGATGTAACTGGCTAACAGATGATTTTTTGATTAGTCTGTAATAGTTTGTTAAATTTTGGGGGTGGGGGAACAGGGAGGAACCTTTGAAATTAATTTGATTTTACAACACCCTCCCCCCCGCCCCCGCAAAGCATTAGTGAATGTAAATCTGTTCTGTCAGATTGCTATAACTTGATAACCTGAGTTGATTACATGTATCAATTGATTCAGCAGAAGTAATTACTCAGGAATTTAACTAACCGAAACAAACAACTGCTGTAGAACTTGTAGCACTTGTTTTCCAGTACAAGGAAATCAGTTTAATACCTTTTAAAGGGATGAAACTACTGATTTAAATTGGAACTCTGTAAATTTGTGTTTCTCCATACTGAAAGTGTTTATGCTATAGAGCTACAGACATTATGAAATGAACAGAATACAGTCTGTAGAAACTACATTTAATGAACATATTACCTTAAAAGTTAAACCTAAATCTGGTAGTTTGTCTGTCAAATACAGAAAGTATCTTTACACACTAAGTTCATTAGAGAGACCAAAGAATCTGCTAGAGGGGAAAAAATTAAAAGTACAGGACTAAGAAGGGAGTCTCTTGTATTACCTGCATTCTTAAAATAACAGCTTTAAAAGAAACATCACGGAGAAATCTAGGTCCAAAATAAATTGGAATAAAATCTGAGTGAATTTAATGAAGATAACCTTATGATCTTTGGGTCTGCTTCTTGCTCAGAAAACTGGAAAAGTGGCGGAGTTGTTAGTGGATACTTTCGTTTTTCTTTAACAGCAGTTGCTGTTTTAATGCAAGAGAGCGGTCAAAGTTTGTAAAATATAGAATTGTGGATTTTTATAAATGTTATAAATGTGTATAGGCTGGGAGAGCACAATGCATATTTATTAATGTAACTAATTACCTCTACTGCATTCTGAAAGTGCAGTTTTTCTTATGAAGGTACCATGTTTCCTTGTATACTTCACACATCTTTCCCCCCAAAATTAGCCCTTCAAAATTGAAGTGCATGTCTTAAGCAAGGAAGCTGATTCTACACCAAAACTGTAATGGCTTCTGCCCTCTATAATGGTGCGCTCTCCTAACCCCAGGACAGGTGGAGTGCATCCTTCAGAATCACATTTCTGAACCCACCATAGCCACTGCCAAATGGGCAGTAGTTTTCGGCTCAACGGCTGAAAGCTGCAGCCAGTTCAGCAGCGGATGTGACAGGGTTACTACTGTAGTTTTAAAGCTTCAGCTAGAGATTGAGGGAGGCTGAGGAGTGGGCTCTGCTTGAAGCCAGCATTCAGTCATGTTATGCTATGGTAGTTAAGATTTCTGGAAAATCATTCTACCTTTCCTGCCCCCTTCCCTGCCCCACCCTCTCCCAGCAAAGGGCCATGTCATATTTATGTGGGAAACTGCTATTTCAAATAGGTCTTTATTTTTCCCCCCACTAAGAGATGCATGAATTGTAATTGAGAATTTAAAGTAGAATATTCCACTACTGTTTCTATTCTATTTAAAAGTTGGCATTCACCTCCCTATACTGGTTGTCCAAATCTGGGAGCAGGGAGAATCTTAGAGGTTCAAAAAAGTTTCTCAGTAATCCTCATAGAAATTGCAATAATAGGTAAGGGAGAGGATGTGTTCAGTATTTGAAACGAACCACCTAAATGTATTTATTTGTTTTCACAGGTGATGCATTGCCACTGAAGTAAGAAGAGAACCCACAGCTGAAGACCATTCTTCCCCTTCATTTCTGAAAATTCAGAGCCAGCAGTTTCGACCATCCAAGCCACGCTGGGGAAGCAGGCTTTCTTTGGCAAATGGTTTAGCTTAGGGGGAAAGAAAAAAAATCCTGAAATATTTATTTTCAGGTGATGTTTCCTTTGTTCTAGAAATTCTCGGCTGGGCAAAAAGCTACATTTAGCTGTCGCACATAATGAGGAGGAGATGGCCTTCAGCATGTTTGCCCATTTGTTTCAGCACTTTTTTTTGTTTGCATAAGTATCCATGGCCAGTTAAATGAGGGATATTTTAAGTTGGGAGAACGCTGCATTGACAAAACAACTGAGAGATGCAGTTAAAAACATCAGGACAGCTATGAAACCTACCCTTCATTGCACTGAAAAGTATCATCTGCTTGTAAAATGAATTATATAGCTACTTCCAGACGAGCTGGTTACACAACAGTGAATGCTTCAGAAAAGAGCAGAAATCCTAGCTGTACCATAAGAAGAGAAATGTAAATGGAAGTGCAACTAAGATTATTTTTTAATTTTTCTTTTGAGTGTGAAGAAGTGTATGTTAGTATGAAAAGCAACAACAAATGACTGTGCAGGATAATGAAAAACAAAAAAACAGCGGAATACCTGTATTCACCCATGTATTGTTTACAACATGGTACATTTTAACATGGCATATTCCAGCACCTCTTTAGAAGGCCATATGTAGTTTTACACCTTAACACTTTTCCACATTCTTTTAAAGAGTAATATTTAGTTGTGTGAAACTGAGTTAATAGTTATATCTTTACCTACAAATTTGTTATAAGAAGCAATATTTTGTAATATGATAATACGTAAAATTTATTTTTCTCTCTTAGTTTGAACTGCTCTTGTTTAATTACTGTAAGCAACCTTCTTTAAAAAACGCTTAAAGAAGTTTGCAGGACTTGCATACTTCCACTTCAGTGGTGAGATTTATGCTTTTCTTCTGTTAGTTTTTATTATTTCCATTAAGTGGCTACAGAAGTATTTGTACATCATGCCTACCCAACCTACTTGGCTGAAAAAATGCTCTTCCTTTTAACCCTGGCTGTATATGGTTCTAAAGGAAGAGGGTTCAGCTTCAGGGCAACACATACCTAAAAAGAAGTCATCCTAAACTGACTAATAGCTGCGGGCAGCTAATCTTATAACACCATTGTCTTGAAAGATACAGCTATACAGGGTTGTAGGTAATCTTGTACCATGTTAAAGGCTCCATGTTCTGGTTGGTTGACAAATGTTCCAGTTACGAAAGTTGAGTCTTGACTAGTGTTGTATTTCACTAAAATGACATGTAGTGTGTTTGAGAAACACACCACCCCTTTCCTTCTTGGAAAACGATATTTTTGTTCAGTATTCATTTTATGAAAGACAAATTAATGTACTGATTTTCATTAAAGCAGTCAGGAGTTGCTGCTGCTGTGTAATGGAATGCATATTCCACTAACTTTTATAACAGGAGATTTAATATCTCGCCATTTACTTTTTTAAATAGCTGTGAGGACAAGAAGACCTACCTTAGCAATCAACTATAACCTAAGTGAACCTCTTCTCTTGAACCCTTTGGGCTGTTCTGCAGCACCTGTTCTCAAAAATAAAGATCTGTCATATGTTTTGAAAGAATTTGCCACTCTGCATTTGGCATTAGAGGCATTTTCTTGAGCTTGTTGCCTTATTTATGACAATACTGAAATATTTTCAGTTTCAAAGGAGCACTTGGGAGCAGCATTTTCCAAAGTGGTACTAATTTTGCTGCATGCACCAGCTGTCAGGGCAGCATCCTTCTCTGACAGAACATCAGCTCTGACACATCCAGCATTAGCTTGCCTAGGACTTGGAAACTCAAGTTTTTCCCCTACATTTATTCATTACGTGGGTTTAAGCTGTCTTATGCTGGGTTCTGTGGCAATAACAGTACTTTCAAAATTTATCATATGTAAACATTTAGCTTAGACCATACAGTTAAGTAGCTGGTATATGTGATGTGTTGTTGTTGACATTCCTAATTTACATCACATTATAAGCTGGTCAAGTGTGTGACATTTTTAGCCATAGCACAAAACAGATTAGAACGATACAATTTGTGAAGCCTGGTGGCTCAATGGATAGCAGCGATGGGATGATACACATTCAGTTTGTTTGCTTCTAAAAAAGAAATGCAGACTAGACAATGTGTGTTGGGCATTAGCAAAACTTCTGACTTAGGGGGAAAATAGTGTAATTTAAAGATGGGAGCAGTGTTCCCCTTCCTTGCACAAAAATTATCTGCGAGTCTAGCCCTATGTAGAGGTGTTTTAAATAGCTCCTCCTGTGTTGTGGTGCAGAGTTTTCAGATTCACCTACACATGATCTGTCAACTTTGCCTTGGAAACCTGTGCATGTTTTAAAAAAAACAAAGTAATCCTGTTCTGGATATATTCTGTACTTGGCTAGTATATTAGGTTCCTGTCAGAAGTGAACCTGTAGATGTTGCTTTTTTGTAGGAACATATTTTATGCACTCAGACAAAGCAGCAGCTGTTGTGCTGAGCATAGCAGTTAATATCAAAATGCTGTTTTTAATGAGGAAAGGCAGTGGATGTTCCAAAAAATATAAAAAATAGATTTGAATCTAATTCCCAGCAGTCATTTGACATCGTGGTTTCATACAAACCACCAGCACCAGATGTAAAAATTTTATGTAGCCATGTTAAAGTTCAAGCATAAAAATGTTCCTAATGCTTTCTAATGTTGTAATGGTTTTGTTGTTGCGGTTGGTTATCTAGGAAAAATAACACGGGGAAAATATAACATTCACAAGCCAACAAATCCTGATAATCCCTGCTAGTTGGCGCATTTCTGACAAAAGGTTGATTAGAACATGTCTGCTTTTTAGGAAATGTCACTCTGAGGTGCATCGATTCTTTGTCTGTGCAAGGAGGAAAAGGCCTGCATGGAAAATCACTCTTCAGAGATTTTCAGCACTTGCTGTTCACGGTTGTGCTACTGCATTGTGGCTACATTTTCTGTTACTAGCCACACATTTTTGCAGCACTAAGATTTTGTGCACTCCATGTCAAGGAAACTTGCTTGTTTGCTCTAATCAGAGCTGTTTGGTGAAATGAAATGGGTCCAGTGGTGAAGGGAAGTAAGGACTTGGAACTTCCCAATATAGAATATATAACATAAATGCAGGAACACAGAGCACAGCCTGTCCTTTGGGAAATAAGAAATTTTCATTGGTGGGAACAAAGAATTTATTTTATCTCTACAAACAACGAAAATGTAAACAGTGGTACAAGTTTCCAAAATCTATTAAAATTACTTACCTTTTTCACTTTTGCTTATTATTTAGCTAAAATTATTTCTTTTAGCCTAGGTGATTTTTTTTTTCTGAAACATTACCTTGGAAATTTTTAAAAATCCAGCAGCCTAGATTTTGCAGTATACACCTCTAAACTAAGTTATCATGATTATATGTAGTGTCCTTTGATACCCATATCAGAGATTGGAGGCCAACACCTATTTTACTTTATTCATTGTCTAAAATCATTTTGTGTATTGGCATAATATCCTGTAAAAATCAAAAGTCTTCAAATCCAGAGAGGCCATTACTGAAATCCAATTGAGAAGTAGAAGCAGAAACTTTCTATAGTTAATGTTACCTTTATTCCATTTCTTATACTGAGTTTTAAGGGTGTCATTATAAATCAAGGCTACTTGCATTTGTATGCAGATTCTATTTTCATTGCAATACTTATGCAGTTACTTAAACCTGTATTAACTGGTATTGATTCCATAAGCATGAATGTGGTGTTGGATGTAGTGTGTTAGAGAATCAGATCAGAACAAGCAAAGCTTGTTGGAAAAAGAAGCAGCTGAAGATGGAAGCACCTTACTGATAGAGCATGTTGCGTATGCTGAATGCTGCTGGAGCACAGAGACAGTAGTTCATTCTAAACTTTATTGCAAAGTGCTCTTTGGTATAGTGAAGCACATTGTCCTGTTTATTGCTATGTAAGACTGTATGAAGTACAGCAATGGCTGTTTTTATCCTATAAATGTACTGTAATTTAAAGTTTTCCTACAAAATAAATTTATATTTAAATTGCTAAAACGTGTACTTAAACATTAGAATTTTTAGGAAGGGAAAGGTAGGTATGCCAATATATTTTTGGGGTTATTATACAGATTTGTTTTGCACTGCCCATTCACTCTAACTATTCATCCAGGAGTTCAGCTTTGACTGGCCATATCTGCATTCTGGCAGTGATGGATCTTTATTGTAATTCAGATCTTTTAAATATATTTGGCCCCGCTTCTCAGAATTTGACAGGAATGGTCTTCCCTCTGTTCTCCAGTATGGATGCTCAGATACAATCTAATATGGTGAGTGTACTATTAGGCATGTGAGGAAGGCTAAAGCCAATATCTAAGACAATTAGCGAGCAGTATATCACTTTAAAAAAAAAAACAAGAAAAATGTTGATTGTCCTGGTAAGTAGGGTGGCAGCAAATACAAAGCACAGCACCAAGCCTTTGACTTTTAAATAAAACTCATGTTTTTCAGTCAGGTAGCTTTGCCTCCTTTGGTAATTCCAAGGCTTCTACAACAAGTAATATACCCTAGAGTGGCTTGGTTTTTCCAAGTCTTTGCATCCTTCTAGGGGGGACACTTTTTCTCTAGCATGAATAGTGGAAAGTTGAGTGATTATTAAAGATGCTCACTTAGCATCTCCAAGCATACCTATGATTGCTACTTACCAATTTACATACGAATTTCATCTTGTGTGTTCCTTAGTAGAGAAGAACATGAAATTTATGAAATGTAGAAGGCTGCAAATCACTTTGCATGAATGAAACCATTAAAGGGTTAATTAAACTGATTTCTTTTTAGCTTGTTTGAATAAATGAGAAATGTATCCAATGGAAAACTGATTCGACATCCACTAGCTTTGTGCAATATTGTAAGTAGAATCAAACACTAGCACACAGTGCTTGGCTTTAAGAAAGTCCTTTAACAATTATATTTAAGTGGACGTTTTAAAAGCACATTTTATTGTAAAACTACTCCTGCAAATTTACAATACTTAATAATGCTCCATGTTCTAAAGTATTACGCAACAAATGTAAAAATGTAAAAACTAAGCAAGCATTTCTAGCAATACATGAAAACTAAAACAATTGTTTTAACTGTTTGCCTTTGTTATTTTATTTTAGTGAAACTTTTCTGCAATGTAAGTTTATTGCTGTGTATTTCATGTTTTTTACTATCATGACTTCAAAGTTAAAACCTGTACACACAATACTGAAATCACCTTCCTTGTACATGCGATGTAACAACATACTCACAGTTTTGGTGCTTAAAAATGACTCCTTTTTTCTTCAATAAAGGATATTTATTTGAATGCTGCCTCTTGTTTTATGCCAGGTTGCTTCCCTTCCATTCCCTTGGTCCAACTGTAACATGATTTGGTTTCTCTGGTAAGGATGCTATTTTGACAGCTCTTGGTAAAATAAACTTCGAAACCCACTTCAGTGTTAAATTGCAGACTTTGTGTGTTTTCTTTTAAACAATATGGCGGCAGTAGCAATGGTTTGAAAGGTGGATTTTATAAAAGCAGCAGGTTAATACATTTCTACTTAGATATACGTTCCTTTCCTAATCAAAAGGCAAAGACACTGCATGAATAAGAGTAGAAAACTGAAACCAGAAAAATTTGCCAGTAGAAGAGATGGCAGTTTGGAGCCTCTCTGTAACCCTGCAAGGTTTGTCCTAAAAGCATCAGCTGCTCTAGAAAATTCTGTATGTTATCCCTTATCCACTCATGCAGTGAGGTGGTGGTAGTGGAAAAAAAACAAGCCTTCAAATAAACTTGACTGATTTAAAAAATACCTGAGTTACAAATGAAATGAGAGCTTAAATATAAAAACAGGTCTTCGTGATTTCTATACAATTTACCTTTTGGTTTTAGAATAAGTACAACATAATCTTATACAAACAACTCATAGATCAGTTCAGTCTCTCAATTATGATGAGGGTATCCTAATAATCTTGTAGGCTGCGTAACTCCACTTTCTCTTGTGTTTGGCATTGTTCTGAATTACGTACAAACGTTAACATTTAAAGGGGAAATTGCAAGGTCAAACACAGATTAACCTGAGCAGTGTGTGGTCCTGAGAAACATGCTACATTTAAAGGAAGAAAAACTACAAGATAATAACTACTTGTTGGTGATTCACTGTGTCAGTTCTTCCAAAATCTATAAAATAAAACATCAAGTCGTGATGACTGGAGACAACAGGATACCTAAAGTAAGCTTCCTTCACACCAGTCAGTATGTCCAGTGTTGGGAGTACCTGGGGAAAGGAGAGAAGTTTGTTAAACCCATCACATGTTCCTTAGTACTGCTGCTCATGTTCCCCATGGTTGAGACCAACCTGTCATGTTACTGGCTAGTACCACTGCAGGAGGTTTCATGCTAAATACAATACATGTAAGGCAAATTCCATGCAAGCCAATAAACATTTCACCAGCAGGGGTGAGTCTGACCACACTGCTGCACAGCAGTTGTAAGCAGTGAGCCAAAGCTTTAGCCAACACAACTGCTTGTCTACACAGTACTGGTAATCATAGTGCTGCTAGCATAACTGCGTTGAGTTACCCATCAAATGCATATATATCCTAATAAGAATCCTTTGCCATGTTGTTTGCAGAGGTGACTTCATCCCTCCTCAGGGTAAAGCTGCATCTCCAATTGGCAGTTCAGCTGCAAAACCTTTGTGGTATAGATTATATTTTGAAGGTGCAGTCAGGAATCCTATCTTATTCACTGTAACATGGTGAGCTTCTGTCTGCTTTGGACACTATAATATCCAAGCCTATCTGTAATTGCTGGTGTTGCTTCCTATCACCATCTCTTCAGACACTGAGGCTATAGACAGACACTACACATAAACTGGTTTAAGTGATCAGAAACTGATTTACACCTGTAACAACAGATGCTCAGTGCACATAAACCAGTTTGTTTCAAAATGGCTGAAACTGGTTTGAGATAAACCTGGTTGCATTATCAGACTTAACTGATTTGGGTAAATTCATTTATGCAATGTCTGTCCCAGACCTCTTCCTGGATTAAGCTGAACCAGATTCCCCCAGCATTCCAGCATGCTCTCTGGGCTGGGCTCTCTGCTCCACAGCAGAGCTGGCTCCTTCCCTCTGCTCCCTGGCTGGAGCTCTGGCAGAAACTGCAGATGTCTGCCTAGCTTCCCCCTGCTACCCCACCTCCCCTCATGACTCCCTGCTCAAGCAGGTATTGCTCCCTCCCTGAGGGGCCTGGCCACACCCCCCCCCCCCCAGCTCAGTACTGTGGAAAGGAAGGAAGGACTGCTCTAGCATCCCCTGGCTTCTAGCCTGAGCCACTGAAGGCATGTGCCTGCATTTCTGGAATGTCTGTACACTTACAAACTGGTTTAACCTAGCCAGGTTAGACCAACCTGCAAAGACAGAATCAATTCAGGCTCAGGCTTTTTGACTGTCTGTCCTTAGCCTGAATCTCAAGAATGGCTGTTACTTTTTTCTACAGCTTGTGCAAATTCCATGCCTTATTCTCCATCCTAATTTCCCTAATACTTGCCCACACCTTTTTTGCCATTGTCTGTGCTGCTCCAGGGGGCTACACCTTTCCTCTGTGATGCAATCAACACACTGCACCTGAAACATGGTCTTCCTTTCCTGACATGCCATTCCATTCCTTCCTGTTCACATCTCTCTCTTGGCTTTCAGTATCATTCCACATCCACATTCTCACTAAATGCAAACAAACCATTTGGCTTCATTTTCCAAAACCATCTCCCATAGTATCCTGTTTTGCTATCAATGTGCACAGCACTTCACACCTCCCAGACCATCTCCACTCCATTCCTCACTTCTATATTACCAGCAGCAGCATTTAAAATTCCACAGAAGAACAAAACCTGGAAGCCGAATCATCATGCAGCTTGAGCAATCCAACAACAGTGCTTGTAATTGTCATTTTTTTGTTAATTTAGATTTAATCTGAGCTGGTTTCACTAGGAATTCTTAAGATTGTAGGGTCCTTGCCCTGAAGATTTGGCAATGCCCTACATTGTTTACGCAGTGCCATTGATGTGCACAGCACTTCCCAGCTAATGTGTATATGGTGGAAGGAATGTTATATTTTGTATGTGTGTTTGTGAAGTACCACACACATTGCATTAGCTAAACTAGGGTTATCCAAATTCTGGGCAGCTGGGGGTTGCATGCTGGGAA